TCAGTGTGAAAGTATGCTAGGAATGTAAACAAAGAAAATAAAGACAAAGTCCCAGGGTAGGGTTCAAGACCAACTCTGCACACTCTCTCAGTTGTCTCATTGTCAAATAGGAAAGTTCCTGAAGCCATGGAGAAAAGGGACTGAGGATGAAGACAGAATCTGTCCCAGAGGTCCTGGGCCAATAAGTTCCAAGAGCAGACACCACACAGAAAAGCCTGGAGAATCCAAAGAGTCACGTCTGTTCATGGGAGAGGACGTAGAGAGGAATGCGAACCTATCACCTTCCAGAAGGCCTCTATGTTAGTCTGCCATAACAAAGCACCACAGACTGGGTGGCTTAAACATGTATTTTCTCACAGTTCTGGAGACTGGGTGTCCAAGATCAAAGTGTTAGCAGAGTTGGTTTCTTCTAGCCATTTTCCTTGACTTGCTGAGGGCCATCTTCCTGTGTCTTCACGGGGTCTTTTGTCTGTGTCTTAATAAGGGCACCAGTCATATGGGATTGGGGCCCACCTGTATGACCTAGTTTTAATTAAATTCCCTCTCTAAAGATCTTACCTCCAAATACAGTCACATTCTGAGATACTGAGGGTTAGGATTTCAACATGAATTTAGGGGTGACACAGGTTAGCACAGAACAACTCACATTCTTCCTCTGCCTGCCTTCACCCTCTCCCATAAATTTCTAACAGCTGAAAGATCCAGAACCTCTGCCAGTTCGTATCACCCTTACAGATCAGGTCAGAGGGAACCAGAGTTGCTCTCACACGCACCATCATTCACTCCGACCAAAGCCCCAAAAGCCATTTCTCCTTCCATTCACGTAGGGATTCCTAGCCCTACTACCAGAAGTTTCCATACATGTGGGACCCTAAAAGTGGTAACCTGAGCCCCAAGCTGACCTTCCCCCTCCTTCACATTCCAGTAAAGCACTCCTCCCACCCTCCCCCCTGCCCTGTTCATTTCAGGATTATCACATTCAGAGAGCCAACATGACCTATTTAGGCTCTGACCCACTTACAACAGAAATACCAATCACAAACACTATCCAGGAGGAAAAAAAAAATAGATGACCACAAATTTAACTGATTGCAAATAAGAGGAAATGATGGAAAAGCCGCCTTCACTGATTTACCTACTGCTGATGCTACTGTAAATGTCCTGAAGGTGAGTTATTAAGGAAATTTGGACCATGCCCAGTAGCCCCTTTGGCATCAGAGCACTCTGTAGGTTTTCCAGCCTTATGAGTGTCCTAGAAATCAATGAAATAGGTCTGTTTACTTTGTTTGGCTCAAAGATGGGGCGAGCATCTCCAAGTGTCTGGAGGAAATGATTTCCTGCCAAGGGATGGGACAACCCACCGCACAAGTGTGAAAAGCCAGGGAATCAAGATGGATACTGAATCAGCCTTTCCCATTCACGCTGAACCAAAATGAGGGGGGATTAGTCCAGTGGCCTTTGAAACAGGGGCTTTTGTAGTAAAGACGTGTGAGGTAGCTGCCTGACTGACAACAATAGCTTATTTCCTCTTTTCTGGTCCATTTCCCAAGGGTAGCTGTGTCTCTGCTCTGTGACCCTGAACCTCCTGTCACGGCTTCTCAGTTCCAAGAAAGACACCTGATCCAAGCCTGAGCCAATCAGATTCTCTCACATAGGAATTTGAGACACAAGGAGCTTTGCTATCTCAGACTCTTGGTAAGGGGGCAACTGGAAATTCTAGGCAGGCCTGTTTCCTGCTCTTCCTGAGGCCCGGCTAGTCTCTTCTGCAGATTCTGACACCACCTCTATCCTTAGAATTAATTACCCATTTGGCTTACATTAGCCAGAGGCAGTTTCTATTAATTGCAATCAAAAGAATCACAAAATGATAAATTTTCTTTTTATTCATCTTTTAGTTCCAGGACCTACCACAAAATTTTACCATATGGTAGATAATAACTTCGTTTTAAATTTATGAAAAGTCCAATTTCCCTCTGCCACTCTACGTGAGATAAGATTAAGAACGATGACATAATGTCCTGTGGTGTATGGGAAAGGACTCTTGGGTGCCAACCTTTCCCAAAGCAACAAATGATATAAAGACTCTGCTTCTGGTTTTCCCTGAGAGGGGGAGACATGCTAAAATTTTCTAGTGGATTTTGTGTAGCAAAAGAAACCATCAACAAAATGAAAAATACCCACAGAATCAGAGAAAATATTTGCAAACAAACCACAAGGGTTTGATCTCCAAAATATACAAAAAGCTCATGCAACTCAATATCAAAAAAACAAAGAACCGAATCAAAAAGTGGGCAAATCAAAACAGACATTTTTCCAAAGAAGACACACAGGTGGCCAGGAGGCACACGCAAGATGCTCAATATCAGTGATTGTTAGAGAAATGCAAATCAAAACTATGAGGTATCACCTTACACCAGTTAGGATGGCCATCATCAAAAATCTGCAAACAATAAGTGCTGGAGAGGTTGTGGAGAAAAGGAAACCCTCCTACACTGTTGACGGAAATGTAAATTGGTACTGCCACCATGGAGAATGGCATAGAGATTCCTTTCAAAACTAAAAACAGACCTAGTATATGATCCACCAATCCCACTCCTGGGAATATATCTGGAGAAAATCACAATTGGAAAAGATACATGCACCCCAATGTTCATTGCAGCACTATTTACAAAAGCTAGGACGTGGAAAGTGAAAGTGAAGTCGCTCAGTCATGTCCAACTCTGCGACCCCGTGGACTGTAGCCTACCAGGCTTCTCCATCCATGGGATTTTCCAGGAAAGAGTACCAGAGTGCGTTGCCATTTCCTTCTCTGGGGATCTTTCTGACCCAGGGATCAAACCTGAGTCTCCCGCATGCAGGCAGACGCTTTACCCTCTAAGCCACCAGGGAAGCAGCAGGACATGGAAGCAAGCTACACGTCCACTGACAGAAGATTAGATGAAGATGTGGTACACATATACAATGGAACATCACTGAGCCACAGAGAATGATGGAACAGTGCCATTTGCAGTGACATGGATGAGCCTAGAGAGTGTCACACTAAGGGGAGTAAGTCGGACAGAGAAAACAAGCTTCATATGATACCGCTTATTTGCAGAATCTAAAGCAATGGTACAAATGAACCTCTTTACGAAACAGAAGTTGAGTCACAGATGGAGAAAACAAACTTGTGGTTGAGGGGTGGGTAGGGGGGAATAAGCTGGGAGATTGGGATTGACAGATACACACTACCATTTATAGAATAGGTAACTAATAAGAATCTACTGAATACCACAGGGAATTCTATTCAGTACTGTATAATGACCTATGTGGGAATAAAACCTAAAAAAGAGTGGATATATGTGTATGTATAACTGACTCACTTTGCTGTAGAACAGAAACTAATTCAATATTGTAAATCAGCTCTACTCCAATTTAAAAAAAAAAACAGAGCAGCATGACCCTTTTCCCTTTGCAGAGAAGTTTGCAAAGATTGCATTACCTGGGATTAGTGAGATCATCCTGAAGAATTCTTCATAAATGTCAAAGTCTTGAAAAGAAAATAAAATTTTCTTGTGGAAACAATTACCTGATGCCAGATGCCCAGGAAGTCAGAGAAGGGAAGTATTGGCTCCTAATCTCTGCTGACTTGTGGGCAGAATTCTCAGTGCTGGCAAGAGCAGGCTGGAGGCAACGGACACTTCTCTGTCTTGCTGGGATCTGCTTACCCCAGGTGAAAAGTCATGCATGGGCATCCTTACTGGAGGTCCTCACATTAACCTCTCTCCACACACCTTCCATCCATTTGCAAGGCCTGGTCTAGGACTTGGATATTCACCCAGCCATGCCTCCACCCAGCCACTCGCACTTTAGTATTTCCCGAGCCCCTGGCTGGGCCTTAGACCCTACATTTAGGTGACTCTGCCAGGATCAGCAACGTTGTGAGTAGGACAACCCTCCAGGATCACTCCAGGCCCTCCACTCGCTGCTATATTTCTAGGACACCCTTCTAAATAATCTCTGAGACCCCAGCCTCTTGCTTCAATAGTCCAGCTTCACTGCAGCAATACTAGCTTCTCAAGATGCCAACTTAACCATGTTACTCTTCTATTCAAAACCTTCAATAAAGCCCAGACTCTTTGCTTAAGATTCAAAAACACCCATAACCTGAACCCAGTCTATTTTTAAACTTTTATCTTGAATCTTCCAAATTTATCTCCTGCATGAAACCTCCACTCTCACACAAGCAGCCTGCCCACCCGCCTCGCTGCTGAGCAGATGGGCACAAGCCTGGAGTTTCTAGAAGCCATGTTGCCAACATGTGGGGGGAAAGAAGCCAACACAGAGAAAGCAGGACTGAGAGATGGAGAGAGTGATTCCTGATGACTTTGCTCGAGAACCAAGATTGGCCTCAAGCTACTTCTACCTCTGGAGGTTTTGGCTATAACTTTTTTTTTTTTTTTGCTTTTGCTTAAACCTTTTTTTTTCCATTCACAAACAAAAGAGAATTCCTCCCCATACCCCTCACGGCCCATTTTTAATCCCTGACTCCTCTTTAAGGTCCTCCAGGATGTGGCCACGGTTCTTATCTCTAACTCACATAATGGTATGTCTATTATTCATGGGAGCCTTCCTGTATACAGCCTGCTAAGTCGCTTCAGTCGTGTCCGACTCCGTGCAACCCCATAGATGGCAGCCCACCAGGGTCCCCCGTCCCTGGGATTCTCCAGGCAAGAACACTGGAGTGGGTTGCCATTTCCTCCTCCAATGCATGAAAGTGAAAAGTGAAAGTGAAGTAGCTCAGTCGTGTCCAACTTGTAGTGACCCCATGTACTACAGCCCACCAGGCTCCTCCGTCCATGGGATTTTCCAGGCAAGAGTACTGGAATGGGGTGCTATTGCCTTCTCCATGTATACAGCCTAGTGACAGGTATTGCTTGACCCTTGAAACAGGTGAGGTGTTTGTACTATCACCAATCCCTTTCCATGGCGCCCTTCCACCCCAGCTTGCTGAAACCAACCATGGCTCAGCAGTCAGAGGCACAGGATAGGGCAGTCCTGGGAAATCCAGAACGAACAGTGCTAGCCAACCCTCCTGAGTGGATGACCCAGGCTCCCACTCAGAACCCACGCTGGCTGAGTCTTGGATTCCAGCAGCCAGTACAACCAAGTTGTCGGCCCACAGGGACCAGCCGGCAGGAAGAAGGTGAAAGAAGGTGAAGGAAGCAAGAAAGGAGATGTCAAAGTCAGAGGAAGAGAAAGCCACGTGCTCACCTAGGCTGAGACTATCTGCTCGTGGGCAGAGCCATGGGCTGAAGCCAAGGAAGATGCCGCCCTGGAGGGTAACCTGCAGACCGGCTGGTCCCTGGGCCACCTGAGGATGCTCTGCGTCTTCTTCGTGTGGTGCCGAGTCTCCACTCAACCCCGAAGCGCTTCTGAGACCAACGTGCATGGGGCCCTTCAGAGGGCTTCCCGTCCCACAGGGGCAGGTCCCCCCGGGGAAGCGGCCGGCTGTCAGCACAAGTCTGCTCCACATGCTCTCATCTTCCCCTCCTTCAGCAAAGCCCAGAGTCTCACTGCCCTGAGAGGCGGGGTGACTCAATGCAGCCATGGCCGGTCACTTCAGGAGCCCAAAGATGGACTCCTGGGAGGCACAGCACCGCCCACGTTTCTCCACCTTGGCTGTGTTTCTCCACTCAGAACCCATTCTAGGACAGAACACTTTTTCCTCCAGTGAGAGAATTCGTAGGGCGAACAAGGCACCTCGGGAAGGACCACAGGTGACCAGGCTCCCTTCCTCCGTGAGCTTGGCAAGGATTGAAACGGTGTTTCCTGACAGCCATCCAAAGGGCTCCAGAGTTGCAGGGAGGTATCTCAGGGCCTCCACAGAGGGCAGGAAGGAGACGGAAAGTCAGAACACAGGTGTCTCATCCCACGTCAGCCTCAGCTGCCCTACCGACAGCTGTCTATCATTGTTTCTAGGAGTATGTATTTTTGTTGGGTTGTTTTTGTCTTGCTTTTTTACTATTTTAACATTTTTAAGTGTACAGTTCAGTGGCATTAATGTGAGTACACTCACATTTGTGCAAACATCACTCCCTTCCTTCTTTCCCCAGAACTTTTCGTCTTACAAAATTAAAACTTTGACACGTTAAACAATAATGTCCCATTCCCTTCTCCCTCCAGCTCCTGGCAACCAACATTCTTCTTTCCATCTCTAATAATTTGATGATGCAAGGTACTTCATACAAATGGATTCATACAGTGTTTGTCTTTTTGTGACTGGCTTATTTTACTTAGCATAATGTTTTCAAGGTTCATCCATGTTGTACCATGTGTCAGGATTTCCTCTCTTTATAAAAGTGAATAATATTCCATTGTATGAATGTGCCATATTTTGTTTATCCAGTCATCCATCAGTGGTCACTTAGGTTGCTTCTATGTCTTAGCCATTGTGAAGAATGTTGCTGGGACCATGGATGTACAAGTATTTATGTCCACATATGCCACTCTTTCGGACATATATGCAGAAGTGGGACTGCTGGATCTTATGATTATTCTATGTTTAATTTTTTGAGGAACCGCCATACAATGCCTCAGCAGGTAAAGAATTTGCCTGCAATGCAGGAGACACAGGTTCGATCCCTGGGTTGGGAAGATCCCTTGGAGAAGGAAATGGCAACCCACTGCAGTATTCTTGCCTGGAGAATCCCATAGACAGAGGAGCCTGGCGGGCTATGGTCCGTGGGGGTACAAAGAGTCGGACACGACTGAGCACGTAAATGCATACTGTTTTTCACAGCAGCTACACCATTTTACATTCCCACCAACAGGATACAGGGGTTCCAGTTTCTCCACATCCTCACCAACACAATTCTCTGACACCAGCTGGGTGTCCCCTCATTTGACTCAATGCTGACACATCTACCAAGAGAGATCATCAGATACCACAGGTTAAGTGCTCTGTCCTACAAAACTATTCCCCCACCTCCCAATTTCAGACACCAGTTGCAAGCCCAGTTGCCGCCTGTAATTCTGACCAATCTGCTATGAAGTGAAAGTGTCCAGGACCTCTTCCTTCAGCTTGATTAATTTTCTAGAGTGGCTCACACTACTTACTAGGTTATCAGTTTATTATGAAAGGATGTAACTCAAATGGTCAGAGGGAAGAGGTGCTTTGGACAAGCTTTAGGGAAAGGTCACAGAGCTTCCATGTCTCTCCAGGCACACCATGCTCCCAGCAACTCCACAGGTTCACCAACCCAGAAACTCTCCAAACCCCATACTTTTGGTTTTTATAGGAGCTTCCCAGGTGACACTAGTGGTAAGAACCCGCCTGCCCAATGCAGGAGATGTGAGAGACATGAGTTTGATCTTTGGGCCGGGAAGATCCCCTGGAAGAGGGCATGGAAATTCACTCCAGTATCCTTGCTTAGAGAATCCCACGGACAGAGGAGCTACAGTCCATAGGGTTGCAAAGAGTCAGACGTGACTGAAGTGACTTCTCACGCACACATTACTTAGATATGGTTGATTAAGTCGTTGGCCATTGATGATTAACTTGACCTCCAGCCCCTCTTCCCTCCCAGAGGTCAGGAAGTAAGACTGAAAGTCCCACACCTCCAATCAGGGGTCTGGGTCCCCCAGCAACCTAGGAGCTTTCCAAAAGTCAGTTCATTAACATAACAAAAGACACCTTTCCAGCTCTCATCACAGAGGAATTTCCATGGGTTTTACGAACTCTCTGCCGGAAATGGGACAAAGATCAAATACGTATTTCTTGTTATAAACAACAACATCACAGGTCTGTAGTATTAGCATCCCCCACAGACGAAGGAGCAAACCAGAACCTAGAGGTAACTAGCCCAGCCCACACAGCCACAAGTGGGAGCGCCAGAGCCAGGATTTAAGTCCAAAAGTCTGACCGTAGAGAATCTGTGCTCTTAACCACCAAGCAAGGCCAAAATTAACGTCCCATTTATAGATGAGGAAGCCCAAGACCCATGTCACAGTGGCATGGCTAGAGAGTAGCAAATCTAGGTCGTCTAAGGTCAGGTTACTGTCACCACTCCATCTGACTGCCAAATTCCCAAAGTATATTTGAACAAAAATGAGGACAATGAGGATCCAACTGCCTTCTTATTCCTAGGCCCCAACTCTCACTCAGATAGCTCACCTCTGTCCTCCTGTCTCCAGTCTTAAGTCCTCTGCTCTGAAATAAATTAACTACATTGAAGGGTTTTCTCCCTCTCCTTCTCCCAACCTCACGACTCAGTCTTCAGTCTGCCACCATAAATCACTGGCAATTCAAAAAATGGTTTCTGAGAAAATGGGCCTTCGTGGCTTGATGGATGTGTAAATTTCCATCTCCTCCATACATGTCTCACTTTTCAAAGGGAAAAAAAATCTTTATTGGTGTTAGCACATTTATGAGTTTAAATAAAAACAAATACATCTCTATTGACCGTAGTTATTATGCTTGGTTTCATGCAATGTAAGTGCTTCAAATAAAAATAGATTGGTCAGAGTGAGTATGCATCAGGTCCAATAATGATGCAGCCTGTTTCCGTAGCGTATGTGTTTCACTTAATATTCCCCTGGCTTGCAGGAGAGGAAGCACGTTGCTGCATGGAGCTTTTAGGCTCCATTTTCTGTCTAAATGCTCCGGGTAGGTGTGAATGTTTATTAGTGTCATGAAATACATCTGGCAGGCAAAGCCTGGCCTTTGCAGAAGAGACCAAAGTGCAATTGCTGAGGATGGGCCAGACCAGGCAGAAAGTGCAAACCCTGTGACACGTGAGCCCAGCACCAACCCATCAAGTTTGTGTGCAGTACCTACTGCCCGCCTGTCACTCGAGCAAGGGCCATCCTAGGACCGAATATATAGGATTACTTTTTTAACTGCATCTCCTCCATGGGGTTGTAGCTCATGAAAGGGAGGACATCTCTCTGTTTTGATCGTCACAAATCCCCTTAGGCCAGTGAAAGGCACGGACCTGGGCATCAGACTACCTGGATTCAAACTGCAGTTCCATCATCTAAGCAGTAAGCAAACATTTATGGAGCACCAGCTGCACCCCAGAGCTTTCTCTAGGTGCTGAGGCTGCAGCAGTCTATTTCTACAAAGCTTACAAGGGAGGTTTAACCTTGAGTAAGACACACCTGTTGAGCTTCAGATTCTTCATCAGTAAGATAAGGATAATAGCACCTGCTTCGTGGGGTTGTTGTAGATTTTAAATCTGATCTATTTAGCACAGGATTTGGCACATAAAGGGCTGCACGTCGGCTCCCAGCATCATCATTGTCGGTCAGGACACCTTGTATGCAGCACTTGAAATCCTTTTGGCCTTTCTTCTTGTTCTAGCCCCGATTGCAGCCAACAATTCAGTGTGGCTTCTGACAGGCTCCATGGATACAGCCTGACAGCCCACCCACCTTAGGCCCATATCTTACTCCTCACTTACCACCCTAAGGCTCCTCTGTTCTTGCCAAGCCTTGGCCCCCATGTAAATGCAACCTGGAACTACAGGGGAGCTAGCATGTTGGGGAGAACCTTTAGCTGCGGTGTCATGGGTTGAACTGCATCCCACAAAAAGCTGTATTGAAGTCTTAACCACTGTGATCTAAGAAATGCATATCCCCTGGCACACAGCTCCTAAACCCCTTGGAATCTTCCGAAGTCCTAAGTGTCTTTTTGTGGGCTGGGGTCTCCTGAATAGCCTCAGGATAGGGGCTGGTTGTCAGGGGAACCGGCTCTGTGATTACAGGGTTGGAAATTTCAGCTGCACCCACTCATCCCTAGACCTCCAGGGAGGGGGAGTGGACTAATGATTGAGTTAAATCACTCATAGCCAATCAATCATACCTAAGTAAGGAAGCCTCCATAAAGATCCCCAAAGTACTGGCTTCCAGGGTGGTGAACTCTTGAAGGTTCCAGGAGGGTGACATGCCTAGAGGGGGCATGAAAACACTGCACCCCCTCCCCTATACCTTACCCTGTGCATCAGTTCCATCTGGCCTGTTCCTGAGTAGTGTTCTTTTATAGTCAACTGGTAATCTAGTAAGAACTCTGCTTTCCTGAGTTCTTTGAGCCACTCTAGTTCATTATTGAGCCTGAGGAAGGAGCTGTAGAGATCTCCAATGCAGAGCTGGCCAACCAGAAGTACAGGTGACAACCTGGACTTGTGTTGACATCTGAGGTGGGAGCAGTCTTGCAGGACTGAATCCTTACGTGGGATCCAATGTTATCTGCCTGTAGTGTCAGAATTGGGTTAAACTGAGGACACCCAGAATTGCCTGGTGTGAAAACAAAACACCAAATATTTGGTGTCAGCAGTGAAGTGCTGAGAGTAGCACTGTGAGTCCTGGGAGAAACAGAGTTTTTTCCCTTTCACCCCAGGATCTATAATACTATCTTATTTGAAATAGGGACTTTGCAGATGTAACCAAGTTAGGATAAGGACATACTTAATTAGAGTGGTTCCCATGTTCAATGACAAGAGTCCTTATAAGGAAAGAAGGACTTGGAGATACAGA